TAAAAAAAAAAAAAAAAAAAAAAAAAAAGGAGAAAAGCAGATTTCATAGGTTAGCTAAGGCATAATAATTGGTTTTCTATTATACACAGTCTTTGGTGGGATGGGGGTACTGAGGATTGAATTCAGGGGCACTCAACCACTGAGCCACATCCCCAGCCTTATTTTGTATTTTATTTAGAGACAGGGTCTCACTGAGTTGCTTAGCCCCTCAGCTTTGCTGAGGCTGGCTTTGAACTTGCAATCCTCCTGCCTCAGCCTCCCGAGCCACTAGGACTACAGGTGTGCATCACCGCACCCAGCTATATACAGTCTTATTAATCCCTAATTAAGAATAGGATTCAGTAGGTTAACATGCTATTGTATATCCATTTATCCCTTCCAATATCCAATCACAGTTAGTAATGAAAATGAATATCCTTGAACTGTGAACTCTTAGCATACACCTGAGGTTCTCTAAGGACATTTGTTGGAAGATCATAAAGCCATGTTGCTATTCAACTCTGGAAAACAGTTTTTAAATCCTAGGAAACTGAAGGTTCTTTATATTCTGCCAAACAGTATTTAAGGTCTTATTTCCATACATCTTTGCCAACTTTGATAATGCTAAGTCCTGATCCCTAAAATGTTTCCAAGTCTGATGAGTATGAAATAGAATTTCATTGGTTTTTCATATTGTTTAAAGTTCTTTCTTGCAATTTTACCCATTATCTATCTATCTATTTATCTCTCCCTCCCTCTCTCCCTCCCTCCTTCTCTGTGAGATAGGATCTCACTATGTTGTCCAGCCTGGCTCAAACTCCTCAGTTCAAGGGATCCTCCTCCCTCAGCTTCCCAAGTAGGTGGGACTGCAGGTGACCATCACTATACTGAGCTAAGAATCTCATTGGTGTTTACTCAAAATTTATTAATTCTTAGTGAGGTTGATTTTTTTTTTCATTTTAGACTTTCTTGGGTTTTTCCTCATTATACTTTTCACTTCTTTTAAATTAATTCATGAAACAATTATATGAATATAAAAGTAAGACTAGATATCATTGCAAATAAAGAAGAAAAAGTCAATTCAATAATGGCTATCTTTTTGTTTACTTATTATATCTCATCTATGCTAATCCATGAAAATTCTGAAAAACAGTAATGCTTCTGTTATTTTTCTAAATTTTATTACAAAATATGTTATTCTGAAGTTTATCTGGAAATGGAGAAATTATTTGTCTAAAGTCAGACAACCAAGAAGAAGTGGTGGAGCAGAGATTTGAGACTTAGATCCACTGGCTCAAAAGTCTGTGTATTTTTTTTTAATTACACAATGCCAATCATAAGACTTTTCTTTTCTGCATCTACTGTGAGCAGGAAGATTATTAGCTGCTATAGAGAACAAAACAAATAATATTTTAAAAAGCCATTCTGTAAATTGCAAAAAGAAAATATATATTCATACTGATTTTCAAATGTGAAACTGAAAATAAGACATATATAAGAAATAACTCTGACCACAGAAGATATGAGGTAAATGGAAATTCAAAAAAAAGATTGAATATCACCAGAGAAATGTCCCATAATTGCTACTTGGACACAATTTTAATTTTAGTAGGTTAAGTGAATGCAAGTGATCAACTTTCTCTTAGAGAAGTTGGTGCTGCTTTTGCTCATGAAATTCTCTTTGCAGAATTAATTGAAATTGGCTTGGCTATGAGTACTCTCGGCTGATTTGGGAACTGGCTCAAGAGTCACGAACAAGGAATAATCATAAACCTCTGAGTACCTAGCAGGGTGGCATAGGGATTGCTGGATTGAGTTTCATTTAGCATCTTCATTAATGATCTGAAAGAGGGAGCAAATAGCTTGTTAATGAAATTCACAAATGGTACTATGTGGGGCACTGCAAACACTGATAAAGACTGCTAAATTATCAAAGGAAACCTGCAGAGGTATATTGTCCAGACACAAACAAACAACCTAAAATACAACATGAAAAAAAAGAGAGAGTTGAAAGCAGGATGTGAGGGGAGTGGTGATAAGCAAGAAGTTGATGGGAGAAAAAGAATTTCTATGATGTCATCTACTAAGAGGCTTCCAAAGCATTATTTCTAAAAGAGACCTAGGAATCAAGAGTGCAAAGTCGATTCAATCTTAACTTATCCATGTGAGATAGCAGGCAAAGAGAACCTCTCCAGAAGTAGAATACCAGTCCGAAATTCGAACCCAGGTCTTCCATCGGATCCTATTTTTTCACTCTAAACTGAGCATCATAATATCCTCATAGAGCTGCTAGGGATGACATGAGTCAGTGTCTGCAAAAAAGAGACAGGCATAACAGGTGGCAGGACCAGAAGTCCAGACAACCTTGGCTACATCTGAATGAAGCAGGCTTTGATGCATGTCTGCCTCCAGAGACGTTTCTGGACTCAAGACTGAGCTGTTGAACTCCAAAAATGCAGTTAAACTGGAGAAAGCCCCAAGAAGAGTACCAGAAAGCATTTAATTCACACCACTAGCCTTAGAAACACAGCTGAAGCATGCAAGGGTGAAAATGGAGAGTGCATATTTAACATGAGCAAGATGTAAGTAAGAGTAATGGGGTGAGATTAAGAAAAGGAAAGCTTAAGCTTTAGATCAGGGGGAAAAAATTTTTTTCCTTGACACTTCAATTAGATATTAGCAGAATATTCATACAAGGGGGATTGTAAGTGAATCATTTCTTAAAGTATTTCAAATTAACTGCATAATGGTTCAAAAAGTTTATCGTTGGTGTGGGGAAGCCCTGCAGACTTCTTTTGGGCTCTGATGCCTTTGATAATTCTCACACTACCATGTTTCGAAATTCTCCAAGAGGTTCTAAAACTGTAATAGAATAATTGACCCTTTTCTCTAAATTCTCACTAAATGATCCCTAATAAGTCATTGGACAGAATTTTTACGGATCTGAATGTCCTTTCCATCAATTATTCCTGAACACTTTTGTATCTGCTACTACTGTATAGAACAGTATCTGATTGTTCACACAATTGTATATGCCATTATTGCACATCTAATTCATCCAGATTTTATGACACTCCGAAAAATATATCATTCTTTTCAGATGCTCCAAATTCTGGATAAATGTGGAGTTCTCTGCATGGGAGAAATCATACATGAGTCTGAGGTTTCTGGTCTGGTGCAGGTTAGAAAACCAGCAAGAGACATCCAAGGGAAAAGGTAAACATTGAATACATGCATCAAATATGGTGAAAAAAACATAGATTGTGTGCTAGGCTCTGTGTGAGGTACTGGTGATTTAACAATGACCAATATAAACTAAAGTTCCCACCCTTAAAGACTTAGATTCTAATGAGGAAGGCACTCATTAAGGAAATAAGCGAATGCAAATATAGTACAATGTCCATGGGCCATCAGAACTATGAAGAAACAGAAGAGAGATAATTTGGAGCAATTTTGGATAGAATACTCAGAGAAGATATCTTAGTAGATGAGACTTGAAAAAGTGAAAGAGAAAGGAACTAGACAGGCAATCCACTTTCCAGGAAGAAGCAAAGGCAAGCACAGAGGCCCTGCTCCTGTATATTTCAGTACCAGCAAGGAAGCCGAGGAGGGAAGTCCTGGGGGGGGGGGGGGATGGCAAAGGCGGTAGAAATAATAACTAGGCAGAGGCCAAATCATACAGATGCTTGAAGGCCAGGGCAAGGAATGAAAATCACTGAAGGTTTTGAGAAGAAGAGCAACAGGGCAGGATTTACATTTTTTTTAAGATAACTGTCTGCTTTTTGGGAAATAAATTTCATTGGGTGCAGGTGGGGGAAAAAAATCAAATGAGTATAAATATGGAAGTCGTTTTATTGTGCCAGGAAGAGACGAAACTGAGGACAGCAGGGACAGAAACAAGCCCAGAGGCTCCGAAGGCATTTTGAAGCAGAGCCAACAGATTCTGCTGAAGTATCAGATGGGAGTAGTGCCAATTAGCTGAGGGATTGCGCTACTGGATGTTCTGCAGGAGGGTGTCTTGTGAGCTTCTGGGCCCACTGAGCCCAAGCCACACGTGTATGTTCAAGGTACTTGGGAGGATGGACAACAGAGATGTGAGATTCAGTCTCATTCGCTTCCTGAATCCCTTTTCAGCTGATATATATATATATATATGGACTTTGGTAAATTTCAGAATCTCAGCATATCAGTTTGGGGAAGTCAGAGCTTTTCTGTCATTCATTCTAAACCGATCTCTCCCGTGTTTCAAAATGTGCCTGTTTTCCCCCACAGTCACCTCACACCACACCTGTTTTGGTCAGCTTTTTTACTTCTGTGACCAAAAGACCTGACAAGAATAACTAGAGGAAGGAAGAGTTTAATTGGGGGCTCGCAGTTTCAGAGGTCTCAGTCCATGGATGGCTCACTCCATCCCTCAGGGCCTGAGATGGGGCAGAACATCATGGCAGAAGGATGTGGCTGAGGAAAGCAGCTGGGGACAGGAAGGGGAGAGAGAGAGAGAGAGAGAGAGAGAGAGAGAGAGAGAGAGAGAGCTCTGCTCAACAAGAAACGTCAAGCTAATTCCATCTTCCTCTCCAGTGGCTTCTCCAACAATGGACACCACC